ACGCATTTCGGTGGGTGTTACAAGTACTGCAAGTACTGCTTCTTTTTTGCAAAAATAAAAACCTTTTTTCACATACGAAAATGTGCTGGGAAATTTTCATATTTTATAGAAACTACAGTAGAAATAGTATAGATGTCGAGTATTTTTTATTTAAGAAAAAAGAAAGCTCATTATCTCCCTTTAACTAGCCTCACGAGCCACGGTCAGCATACTGCCCGAGTAAACATCCTGCCCGTGAGATGAAAGGTGGGTAGTATGCATACTACCCGGGCAGTATGCAAACTACCCGGGCGGTATGCATACTGCCCAAGCGGTCGGGTGTATGCATACTACCCGGGCGGTATGCATACTGCCCGGGCTGTTGGGTAGTTTGCATACTGCCCGGGTAGTTTGCATACTACCCGAGTTAGCATATGGCCCGTAACACATACATTTTGTATTTTCCACGTTAACGCCATACGCTCTACATTTCGAGGGGTCCTACAATTTTGCCATGGAAAGGAGGGGCTAAACTTTGGGCGCAAATTGATCTTTTACGTTGGCGCGCTCTAAAACCCCAATAAACAAACAAAGAGGGGTTCAAAATAAACTTTTTTAGACTGAACTTCAACTTCTTTAATTCGAACTTCATGGTTTTTTTTAAACTGTATCGCAGCTTTTTAAAATTGTTTCACAGCTTTTTTAAATTGCATCACATCTTTTTTAATTTGCATTACAGCTTTTTATATTTAAACTTCAGCTTTTTTAGATTGAGGTTGAAAAGGTGTAGTTACTAAACTGCTATTCCAGTTAAAAAGCCCGTGTTAAAAGTGAACCATTTCCTTTAAACCGCGCGGGGCTGGGGGGGTAAATTTTACCCCCCTCGCGAATTTTTGCAATATCTCAAAAACGGCGGCGCGCAGCGCCGCCAAATTTTCAGTACCTTTTCTTACATCAATTTGACACGTTCCCTGAAAATTTGAGCGAAATCTGTCAGAAAATTTTGGAGAAATTGACGTTTTAGTGACGTCATGTTCGCCATTTTCGCCTCAAAAACGGCAAAATTTCAAACGCCACTAACATCTTCATTTTTAAAGGAATCAAGACGTAACAAAAAAGGTTATACGTAATTTTACTTTGTCTATCAAATGGCTATCTCGGTTTTTTGAAATTTTTGGATTTTGGCCCAAATTTTTCCAAAAAACTGACTTTTGGGGGATAATAATTATAAAATCAAAAATTTTGAGTTTATCGAAAAACCGGAATACATGTCAGAGAGGTGGTCTATGTGCACCTACATATCAATTTTTAGATGAATCGGTTCAAAAATGTGGGGTTATTAAACATTTTATGACGTCACGACACACAAAAAAATTGAAAAATGATTTTTTTGGAAGTTTTAGACCTTGTACGGAAACAAAATTAGCACCATTCGATTCGCCGTGAAAAACTTCATCAGATAGCCACCTTTTTAGGCCTTAACAACCAATTTCAAAATTTGACCTCACTTGACCTGGCCTTGACCTGACCTCGACCTGAAATTCATCCAGAGGTGGTCCATATCACTTATTGAGTGTGCCTATTGAATTCTATGAGTGAAATGACCCATAAAACATGTGTCGCGCATGATGCCCTTTTCTATATTTTGTTTTTGGTGACCTGACCTGACCTGACCTGACCTTGACCTTGACCTCTGAATGATATTGTATGCAACGAATATTGTCTTGGTAGCCTAAGAACACGTTTTGGGCAATCAGTCTCAGTTCATGACTCCATTCATCGGCAACTACGGTGCAAGGCCGATACTGTAGGAACTTGCAATTTGTACCCTTGACCTGACCTTGACCTTGACCTCAAACTTTAAATAAAGTACATGTTTTTAGTTGTTCGTGATGAGATCTTTGATTGGCGTTTGAATTTTCCAAATCGGACCATTAGTTCGGGAGATAACAGGGGTGGGGGGGTAAAATTTACCCCCCCCCCCCAGCCCCGCGCGTTCGGCTGGAGACCCCAGCCCCGCGCGGGTTAATGAATTGGCATACAAGTGGTGTCGCATGGTCCACTCCACAGTGAGCAAAAATAAATATCTACCAAATTTCACTCAAAAATATTAACCGTTTTTCAGACATTAGACAATTACTTTGGTGTATTTTTCGGAGCCTTCGCTGTTCCTACGAAGCCATTTGTAAGCAATAATTTGGTATCTTAAAAGTGCGGCAGATGTTGCGCGCAAACAGCATATACCACCACTGCTTCAAAAGATGTTAGTACCTATAACATTGTATAATCGATAGATCTGCGCTGACGTCACGATTTCAGATGGGCATTTAAATGCATTAGCCCCTCTGAATAAAAAAAAAAAAATGACCAACACAAAAAAGGCGCGGTGTCTGTGTGCGTCTCAGTTACTTTGCACATTTGAAACTGCGACATAATAGTGGCAAATATGAAAGCGTCACGCCAGCAGGCACATTGACACCCCTCACTTTGTCCTTCGCACCCCATAGCAGGGGATCTTATTTCTGTGGCGAAACTCGCAGAGTTACAGCCACTTCAGACCTTTGTCTAGCATGCTGAACGTTTCCTCTTGTCCGAAATATCATAAATATGCGATTGTCACTGAGCTAAAAACCTTTAATTTGTACTTAGAGAGCCATAAGTGTCTTCTCCGGTATATATCAGTAATTGTCCTTCAGATTGGCGAAGATTACTCGGAACCGTTGCATGCTTAACGTCCTCCTGGCGACTGACCGTGGGATGCGGTGGGATGTCATGTTTTCATTTTGTGTGTTTAACATTCGCAAAAGATTAGTCTTTTATCATGTGAATTATGCATATCATGTGTTACCATTAAAGGTGCGTATCAACTCCTTAGAAATTGTTCTCATTATTTAGTAGACACTCGTTATTTTGCTATTTGATGTCACTGATAGCAGGCTAGGTCACAGAGGCCGGATCACTGAGGGTCACAATATGAAAGTGTCGTGAGATACATGTTGTGTGGTCCATTTTCAACGTCAAATGCGATTAGGTGAGTCAGGCAACCTTTGGGGCCAGTTTAGATGATGTTCTGGTGAAGGTCAGGTCAAGGTCAGGTCAAATTTGGTCAAAGTTCGAAGTTTATATTTTTGCATAAAACGGAAATTGAATCGATGCAGCTCGTCACCGGGAGACTAGTGGTGGTATTTGTTTTGCGCTACGTGGTCTAGAACTGCTAAAAATTGAGTTCGAAAATTTGACTTCATCAATTTTGAACAATTTTTCCCAATAACACGGCCAAAAAAGAGTTAACGATCTCAAAGTTGGATGTGGATAAAAGACGCTGGGGACTATCATATATGTTCCAGCTTTTCGAAATTCGATAAACCTTTGGGATTTTTTGGCTATTAAATATACAAAAAACTACGTTTTTGATTTTTAAGGCTCAAAAACCGAAATATCAAAACTCCAAGATATCAGTATTACAGCCCTGTTAATTACGGAGCGAGCGAAGCGAGCGGAGTCTTACGTAGAATAGCGGAAATTTCTCAGTATGAGCGGCCGGCCGGCCGTGGTCACGCTTTTGCGACGCTTTTATCTCAGCAACCATGCTTGACCGATTTACATGCGGTAATTTTTGTAGGGTAGCTTCATTCCTTCTACCAAGTATTGGACTATTCCCGATGCATGTGGGTGACCCTCTTATGCACGTGCCACTTGCAAAACGAAGAGGTGTCAGTTTTGTGACAATTGCAATATCTCGGTAACTACTGGGCCGATTGCGCTGAAACTTGGCATGTAGGGCACCCACTATAGGCAATGCATTTGCATGTGCCACAGTTGGGGTGCTGCTGCACGTGCGTACATGCAGGGGTCGATTCCAATCTCGAGAACGGCTGGACCGATTGCGCTCAAATTTGGTACGCGGTTAGGGACCGGTTGGTAGGGTGCAGTGCAAAAGTCAGTTGGGGCCCATTTTGCACGTGCGCACGTGCAGGGTACCGCTTCCAGATCTTGAGAACGGCCAGGCCGATTGTGCTGAAATTTGGCACATCGCTAGAGACCAATCAGTAGGGTGCCGTGCACAAGTCAGTGGGAGGTACCACCTCGCAATTTCGCACGTGCAAGGCCCACCCTCTCGCTCGCTCCGTTGGTCGCCCCAAAAGGCGTTTTACTGGTTTTACCTACATCTTTTATGTCCACAATATTTTTATATATCTTCAAAACTGTAGGCCTGACAGCTCTTTCCGCGAAACCTTTTTTGGGTCGAAAATGGCAGAACATGATATCATTCTGACGTCATCTGTGGCCAACCTATCATAGCCTCTGGAATTTTTATCACAATGTGTAAAATTGATGTCCAAAACTGCAGGGCTGTCCTGAGATTTACTGAGCTCACAGATCTACATATCACTGTGATTTGGTAACGTTTACACTGAATGCTATCACAAGTTATCACTGACCTTTAATACAACCAAAAAGCAGAGTTGAACAGTCTGGCTTTACGTAAAAGTCAAACAAAATGTCAGCATACCTCTGTATCGAATTCAATAATCACAACAGCTCGTAGAGTGGAACCACACCACTCAGTTCGTCTGGAATGTCTGGACGGTGGCGATACTGCATGTGATTCAAGTGTAACTGAAAGAGCTCGCCAACCAAACACCGCGGTATGTTTAGACCGCTTGTCGCTCGGTGAAAATGTTTACAACGGCGAGCCTTACAGCAGCGCAGTCCAGGCTAAGATCAGTGTTTGGGCCTCGCCAGAGCCCACTTGCGGATTAATTGATTATTTAATCAGGAAATATTACAGAAAAATGGGAGGGGCTCTGTAGAGCCCCTTTCCCACACCCCAGTCACGCACGGGTTAAAATATAGTACCTATGTGTATGAAAATGCCAAGATATCTTACAATTAGTGTGCTAAAAGAAATCACTGACATCCCTATTCGTCAATCAATTCTTATAAGTTATAGGAAGCAACTGACAAATTCATTATGCTGCATCACTCAGTATAGTTGTTATTGTTTCCTCTGTTGACAGGCGCCTCCGTCCCTCCGGCCATTGAGGACGTGACACCGCCCTCTACTGAAGCAGAGGGGGATACTTTCTCAGCCAATCAAACAGAATCTCAGCTCAAATCGCTCACGCCGAGGACGCCGGAAGCCTGTGTGGTACTGTACACAGAGACAGGGGACTTGATAGAAGAAGGCTGCGTCGATATCTCGGAACAATGCAACGAGACCAGCTGTGCTCCTGGAACCGTCTGTGGACTGAATCTAGACCAAGAAGTCGAGTGTTTCGACGAATCTGCCATTGATATACAGAATTGTGAATCAGCAGAGAGCAGACTCGCTCGGCCATGCCCTGAGCACACTGAAATATTGGGCTTCGGGATGGGATGCACATTTTGTGTTGAAGATGCCCTGCTCGATCATGGGGATCGTGCATGCATCGTCATTCCGATGGACATTGGAGAGGAAAAACAAGAATGCGTCGATATTTCAGAACGATGCGCCGAGCTTAGTTGCGAAAATGAAACAGTATGTGGCTTGAATTTGAATGAAATCCCACAATGTTTTCCCAGTAATGTCACAGAGCTTCAGACTTGCGAATCAGAACAGGACAGACTGAATGAGCCCTGCCCTTACGGCACCAGTGTCCAAGGCTTTGGACAAGGATGCACCTTCTGCAAAGTCGATGAGCCAGATGAGATGAGAGTCTGTTTTTTGGACCCCAGTGAGCTCATGATCGAGTGTGTAGACATATCTAAGGAATGTGAGCTTCTGGATTGCGAATTGCCAGGTATGTGCGTGTTAAACTTAAACAAAACACCAGAATGTCTGCGGAACTCTTCCGATTTGTACGAGAACTGCGATACGGAAGAATTCAGACTTGCCCAGCCGTGTCCAATTGACTTCTCAATTGTGGGATTCGGGGAGATATGCACATACTGCAGTAGTAGCTCAGATGGTCCCGAACCGACTGCCCCCACTAGTGTCAGCCCGTCAGTCATAATCCCAACAACGATGGCGCCCTTATCGGCACGCAGCTCCCCTTCTTTCACCTGTTATATCGGGGTGTACCAAGGCAAGCTCACTTTTCCATGCAAGGACTTCAGCGCAACGTGCCGAAGGTGCTCGAGGAGGGGCAAGATCTGTGTTCGGAACATGTATCAAGAGATGAAATGTGTGACCAAGCAGGACCTGGAGCAGTATCATGCCGTGTGTGGTTCCCGGCGGAAGCGCGAGTTCCGCAGATGTCCCGACGATTTTGAGCCAGCGGGCTACAGTGCCGGCTGCACATATTGCTGGCAGCTCTCGCCGAAACGCGTTTGTCGAGTCACGGACGGTCAGGCCAGGTGTTCTCCTCTGCCGCGGTGGTGTCAGAACTGTCCCGACAGCACCACCTGCGTCCTGGACACTGATGGCAGGGCGTGGTGCGCCACCTTCCAGATTCTATCTCACTACAGCAGCAGCCCCAAAACGGAGCAGGTGCGGCTACTGGTACCCTGCCCGCCGGGCCAGGTGGCAGAGGCGTTCGGAGCCGGTCGCAACTACTGCCGACCGCGGGTTGGACCACGCGCCTGCCTGGTCTCACGCCACGGCGGCCGCTGCCAAGACATTGGACGCCTGTGTCAACGGCAGGGATGTGGCCGCACACAGACCTGCGTGGTTGGTACTGACGAGAAGGTGCGCTGTGTGGACCCGAATGTCCTGCAGATGCTGTACAGGAAGAACTGTGGCTCGGAGTTGCAGGGCCTCCTGCGGCCGTGCGCCGATGGCGGCGCTGTCGAGGCTTTCGGTCAGCGATGCACCTATTGTCGGCCTCGCCCCACTCGTCCAGCGGTAGCGAAAAAACGAGCATGTTTTCCAAACCGGGCAGGACCAATGTGTGTCGATATTTCAGTAGCATGCATGCGAATGGGCTGCAGTGCGATATCCAAAGGCACCTCGAAACTGTGTGTACGGGATAGCAATACAGCCAACGTCAAGTGTGTGGACCCTCGGGTGCTGCGGCAGCACAAGAAACACTGCGGCAGCGAGCTGGAGCGGCTGACATCACCGTGTCCCAGGGGCAGCGTACCGGCCCTCTTCGGAGCCGGCTGCAACTACTGCAGCGTCTGTATCGCCATCATCAACGGCCAGTGTGTGACTGTTGACATGATAGAGAAGGGCTGCGGGCGAATTCATTGTCGCAGAGGAACCCAGTGCGTCCTGCAGCGCTTCAGCGGCACATTCTCGTGCAAGTCGATGGCGCGGCGGATCCCCGCTTGTGGCACGCCGAGCGAGAGAAAGGACAAGCCCTGCACCCGGAGATTCTCCTTCAAAGCACCACTGGCGTTCGGTGTGAACTGCAACTACTGCTGAAAGGCTCATGGTGTTGGTATCTCTTTCTATAGAATCATAGATATCGCTATGGTTGAAATGAGTTGGTTATGTGTAAACTGAGCAGTTTGGGGTGTGGTATGTCTCAGCCTACAACTGTCTAATAAATCCGAAGTAATAACAAAAAGGCATGTTTCACGAACACGAACCAATACTTATTTATACAGAGGAACAAATGTAGAAAGTAGCTGTTTTTATTTCATTAGTTCATTCCAACTAGCAAAAAATGTGTTGCCGATTTATCACTTAAAGGGACTATCCCACCTTCTAAAATGTTGTTAAAACCAGTTAAATTGTGCCCGACTTTATAGATTGGATGACCAGGAACACGGTTCTGGCATTTATTTTTCATTAAACATCTTAGGCTTCCCATATTCCAAACACAAACTTTCAAATATGTGACGTCACAGCCCAAAATTACCTCCTTCCCCAGGCCACATTACTGTCATAAAGCTGATTCTTTTTACTCTGTAGGCACCACAACAAAGTTCAGACCAAGTTTAAAGCGATTTTTCAACGAACAAACCCATTTAAATCAGAATGACTAAACGAGGTGACGTCACACTAACGGTCGCTCCATGTTGAAGATAGGGCCTTGCACAAGGCCCATTTTCAAATGAAGGGAACGAATTTCTTCAACACCAAGAGGCCGCGGGGGTTGCAACCTAGATAGATAGTGGTTTCTGAACCTCGCCGCAAACTTGGCTATCTCAACTCAAACCCCATGTTAAAGGTGGGATAGTCCCTTTAAACGCTTGATTGCACCTCATGGTGGGACGCAAAGACATAAACAAATTTGTCTTTGCATCTATAGGGTGTCCTGAAAAATTGTTGACAAGCTCCAACCGCGTGCTTTTTCGTCAATACTTCTGAATCAGCCTGAAATTCAACGTCGACACTTTACATAGGCAATGGTGACAGCCGTCCTCAAGCAGAGTAGTTGTTCTCAAATGCATTCGACCCTTCACGAGCTCACAAAAAGCGTTTACCTCTGGCCATTGCATGGGTCACACATGAGAATGGAGGTCGCAAAATCAGGTGAGTTGCGAAACTCTTCGTTCCAGGAGTAGGGGAGAGTGGGCAAAGCGGCCACCCTAATGCTTCGCACGATGACGACGCTTGATTTTTAAACTTAACTAGATTCTGGCCATACCAATGTGATCCATATTAAAGGGATTACCAGGGTGTGATAAATTGAAAGGAATCGGTATAAATTGTATATGGTTGAGTTCCCCGGAAATTTCTGAGCCTAGCAATATAGGTAAAATGCACACCCGTGCCCTACTTTGCGAGTAAATGCCGTTTCCAAATCGGCTCATTTTCGCGAAACACGACTGATTTGGCTCATCCCTGTATTGTAAGCAACGAGAAGCCTTGCAAAATTCTGCCGGGCTGCATATATCGATCTGGATTTCGGAAATTGGTATTTGAGTGAGGTGTTCTTAAAAAGGATTGAAAAGAAAATTGGAAAATTCAAGATTTGTCATAAAAAGGTTGAAGAATATCAGCAAGGATTTTTTAATGATTCATATACCTATCATTATTGACAGGTCGCTATGAGCCAAATCAAGATAATAATATTTGATTATTGATGCTGTTTATTTGCAGGATTTTCAACTAAATTTTAGGCCAGGCCCTTCTTTCTTGAAAAACTGTGAAATACAACCTACCCCAGTTGTATATACAGCAGGATGCCGGCAAGCCTGGTGAGCTGCAAGCAGGTACAACAGCAGCAACGGCGACGAAGAGCACCCCTCGGCAACAGCAACCACAGCGATGACATGATCTATGGCATTCATTTACTCGAACTTGTCCATGCAAGTTACGACAGCAGGCTCGCGTACTACGGAAAGTAACTGAAAATGCAGTGGCAAAACTATTTAAGACTGTCAATAGAGCTCACTAGCAAAGGCTACTCAGTTTCAAAAATAGTGGGTCGATCGGTCATCGTAAAATAAATAGAAAGCATCGCTCAAATTTTTTGATATCTGTTAAGCAGCGATTTTAGGAAAATAACACGAAAATGGTCCTGCTAAGGACAATTGGTCCGAAAATCTGTTGAATTATAAAACATTTGACCTTTGAAGTTCACAAAGGCAGATCTGAGAATCGCTAGTTCTGCCGGACAAAAAAAAAACATCCGACAAAACCGCATGATGGGACAGGTTTCGGCCGTTAAAAAAAAAGCTTTCCTGAGGTCGGCGATACATTCTGCTACGACATGATGCAAAAAATTACCTCTGGCGCTTTCCGTTCGGTCAGGAACGAGGTCAGGAGATTGAAAGTAAGTAGCCATTTATTAGCCTCCGTCAACTGACGGAGCGACTGAAATCGGTATGGGCAAATATATTTGAAGCTACAACAAAGGGTTTGGTTAACAACATTCCAAATTAGTTGTCAAACCATGTCACATACCTAAGCATCAGGTACACCAAACGAACCATATATTTATGTGTAGTGTACGCATAAGCGTCAAAACCTAAGATTTTTGGCTGGTTCTCATGCGCTTCATGGCATGGGAGATGTGTCAATAGGCTTACGGGACACCCTGAGGTGTCTTATATGTATGAGGATTGAGGATTGCGAGATAGAAATATCTATGTACTGTAGACACAGACGCAATGACGAATAACCCGGTCCCACGGGTCCCACTACTAAAAAGGCACAATTCTGACCTTTTAAAAAATCAGGTTTCAAACGCTTAACTTAATCCACAACGTAAACTTTCTTGTAATTACAGCCTCGGCCTAGGTGTAGTAGATAAGCTCACTTTATATGGAAAGTGAATCCGTTATATGATTCCGGGGAGACATAAAGAAAATGAGAGAATTAAGATATGCAAATAACATGAATATGGCACAGGCAAGCACTTTGTTTACAGCGCTTTAAAATGTATCCTGCCAGATAAAGTCGGCCATTTTTCTTTAACTTAGGAAAAATCATCAAATCAATTAAAACATTATGTTCATGATGTCATATACCCGTAAGGAGCATGATACAAAACAAGGGTTTGGCGATATGCTGTACCTATACCTACTCTAAATTATGATCGGTGAAGTTCTTTAGATGTTTCTTCTAAAATCGCGCACGGACGGGCAGGGGTGGATATCCGCTCCTCTCTGGGGGGTTTTCATGAATAGTGAAAAACGCCGCGTGCAGCCCCGAGAAATTTGACATGGCTATTTCTTCATTAATTTCACACATTTGTGTGCAAGTTATGACCTCCTACCTTGAAAGTTCAGGTCATCAGGTCACTTTGAATGACCAAACCTCAAATCACTTCTTTTGCAACTTTGTCACCGTGGGCCACAGTATGTAGGGGACATAGCCCTAGCCCTATGAATGTTGCAGGATGTATGAAAAAGGCCATAGGTATAAACTGTTTTTATTCAAAAGGGCTCTGGCTCCATGTTTTCCGAAGAAGCACGTGTTTTAACCACCAAAACATATACGGCCTTGACCAAAACGGGCAAAAACTGAACTTGAGAAAATCGAACGTCGGCTAATTTCAACATGTGATTTATTCCCGACAATATTCATTGGCACGTTTTGAAGCTAGACGTTAGAACAGTGGTGATGTCATGCCGTCAAACTTGCATTGAAATGTAACGTATAACTATATCATAGACAGAACCGCTTACGCGATTTAACTCGGTAACATTGAAAACGAAGTTTCCCTCAAATTCGTTGACACTGTGTCATCGTTTGAGGTCACACGACGTGAGGTCAACTTTTTACCTTGACCTTACGAGTCAACACATAATTGTTCTATGCGGATTGACGAGCGGATCACGACGGTGTCATTAGTTCATTCCTATAGCATGATTACTTCAAAAGTTATGATCGAAAACTCTCTTAATCTCTAGCGCCGCTATTTTGACTATTTTGACCCCTGTGAAGTCGCTTTTGACCTCACCTGAAAATGTCATTTGAAATCATTGTAGCCCTTGTCCTTCTGTATCCAATGTCTTTTACCGCTTGTCGCTAGCTTGCCCCTTCTCGAGATCTAAGGGGGGCGGTTATCCGCCATTCCCCGTCGGTGCGAAGTTGGCGCGGAGGCCGTTAGTGCGCGAGTTAATACAGTTGCTTTGAGTTCGTATTTGCTATCTTCTTTTATGGGTCGAAACAAAGCAATAAGGAATGAAAACTTTATTTCACTCAATCCGCACGTATAATAGGTGTTTTTCATCTTGCACTGATTAAACAAGTTTTGCTCGTCTCTTCACCTTTCACGACGCTTCTAAATGCGTGAACTGCGCACACGCACACACACACAGTGCATATGCTATCGTAATTTGGAAGTTTTTGGAGGTATTGCACTTGTTACCTTCGCTGCACAGTGGAGTCACAGCGCAAAAAAGTGTGTTTACTCTTCCAGTTTTGTACCGAAGCAGTTATCCTTCAACACGGGATTGTTGAGCAATTTGCTGTTAGGCCTTAAATTACGCGAGCTAATGATGTTGGCGGCTGTATGCGTCCCCAAATAAACATCTGTCGGTGTGCGCTAGCACCGACACGGTGTTTGGCAGGTCTCACGGAGCGCACTTGCACCAAACACCACGGCCGACTCGGCGCCAGCCGTTACTGGAAACGAGTCAGTTCCGGTCTGTGCTTGAGTTCGACATCGATCGGCATCTTTGAGGCAGTCTCCGTGCGACATCATCTATAGCGATGTTTTGGCTGTGGTTGCTAAGAGTCATCGAGGATGTGGGCGAGATCTATCGAGATTCTATCGTTTGCCTACAGGGGTTATATAATATGAGTTTAAGCAGAATCGCCAAAGTCCCAGAATATGTCATCAAGTAAAAGGGTAAGATCTAAGAAAAATTATATTTCATGTTTGCAGGAAATGTCCGTCATAGCGAAATGGCTACTACATAAACTAGACTGCTTGCGTTCGTTTTGGCTAAAACGTTGCTGTTGACTGAGCCTGCTAGTATGTATATCAATAACGGTGGCTCCCTCGGCAGTATCCTCAGTATTTATTGAAATGCTCATGACACATGCCTCTCGGTCTGGTGCGTTCGGTTTCAATTTTCCATCCGCCGGCTGAAGCCGAATTGGAGCCGTTTCTGAGAAACGGCCCGAGTCCGGGCAGGATCGCGCTCGTTTGGAGGCGGCGTTGTCACCACAACTTGCCATCGAACGTGTCGCCTTATTGCAGTCCGGTATCTGAGCGCCGCATTGGCGTCGGACGCCGGCGCCGGCCAGGCCCGACCATGGCGTCGGGCCTGAGTGGTATCCGATGGGTGTCGTGCTCGCCGCGCGACTGTCGACCGGTGCGCCGCCGCGCCGCGCGCTGCCAACGGGAGCCGGGTGGCGGCGTGTCACCGCCAGCTGAGAGAACCGCTGCCAACCGATCGACGAGCTGTGCCCCCGGCCAGCATCGGCGCCGATGAAGAGGGCCGAGGGATGACGGACCCCTCTAGATGAGCGCGCAGTTCTCTATAAGGCTGTTAAATCTCCTTTGAGTAGAGTGAATATAGACAACCGTTATCGTTTTCAGCCTGTGGTGGATGTTTTCCCCAACCTTGCTTCCAATCGGCTTGACTAATAAATCACGCCAAATGGAATGAGTAGAGCTTCTATCGATAGGCACCAATGTCCATAAATCTCAATTTCTTGGGACAAACAAAGCATCCTAGGGGCTCGTCGGTCTTGGCTAAGGCAGAATTACTTAAGTGCAGTCTTTTTGTCCCGTATCCAGATTGCGACATCGACAAAACGTTGAAGGGTCTCAGAATTGTTGAGCATGATGAAGGGTCATCAGTGATGAAGCGATGGGCGTTGGACAACATATTGCCACCATGTCACATTCCAATGCTATTGGAAAATGTTTATGCTTTCCTTCATCGATTGAGTGCATTTGTCATCATCACAAGCCCAGGTATTATTGGTGCCAATCTGAATTTCTTTTCTTGGAATTCCAATTTTTGTCCAATTCCAATTTGGAATTTGGACGGAATTCTTAACATTTTTGGAAATTAATCGGAACACAAGGCCTTTAAAATTAAAAATTTTAAAACGGAGGCCTTTAAAACGCTTTTAAACACTTTTATAATTTACGCAAAAAATTCAAAAATCGCTAAAAATTGGAATAGTCCCCGCTTTGGACAAAATTGGAAATTTACTTGGCAATTTCTTGGAATTGGATCGGAATTGGAATTGAAATTTCATGAAATTGGCACCACTACCAGGTATGTTGAAAAGGTATCAGCTTTTAGCTTAAAGCATGGCATCACTTCCATAACAAAAGGAAACGGAAAAAAAATAAAGAGATGATGGTATGGTGACGGCGAGGAATCTTCCAGCAAATAATGTTAGATAGGTAGATCAGACACCTCTCAAAATAAAAAGTTAATTGTTACTTTTACAGCTTTTTGATTATGATGATAGATACGCAGTTCATCGTGACCTATCATAAACTATCTGGATCTGAGGTTTTCAAAGGATCAAAACTTTGCTAAACGGGTTCCCACTCTCTCCTCTCTTCCCCCCTCTCTCTCACTCTCTCTCACTCTCTCTCACTCTCTCTCTCTCTCCCTCTCTCTCTCTCTCTCTCTCTCTCTCTCTCTCTCTCTCTCTCTCTCTCTCTCTCTCTCTCTCCCTCTATCACTCCCTCTACCCTCCCACCTTGTCAGTCTACAGCAGCGAGTGATTTGACTATAGTGTGTTAACAACTCACATGGAAGATGGTGTCCACATGACTTCTGGCCGCGTTCGGGTCGATGCGCGGCACCACCTGGCGCCCCAGCATGTCGTAGATGGCGGTGACCACCAGCTGCATCTCGTGCTTGGTGATGAGCCCGTCGCCGTCCAGGTCGTACAGGTCAAACACCCAGCGCACCTTCTCGTCGGTGGTGCCGCGCGACACCCGCGACAGCGCGTGAAGAAAGTCCTGCCGCCGGCAGGGTGGAGGGGATCGTCAGCTTTGCAACGGTTAGTTACACAGGGGCGGTCAGTTACAAGGGGCCGTCAGTAACACAGGGGTCGTCAGTTACACAGGGGCCGTCAATTACACTGAGGGGCCGTCAGTTACACAGGGGCCTTCAGTTGCACAGGGTCCGTCAGTTACACAGGGGCCGTCAGTTACACAGGGGCCGTCAGTTACACAGGGTCCGTCAGTTACACAGGGTGTCAGCTACTCAGGGACTGTTAGCTACACAGGGGCCGTCTCGGTTACACAGGGACTGTTAGCTACACAGGGGCCGTCAGTAACACAGGGCGTCAGCGCAGGGCCGTCAGTTACACACGGTCCGTCAGTTACACAGGGGCCGTCAGTTACACAGGGACTGTGTAAGTGACCATAGAGGGACTGTTAGCTACACAGGGACTGCTAGCTACACAGGGGCCGTCAGTTACACAGGGCGTCAGCACAGGGCCGTCAGTTACACAGGGGCTGTTAGCTACACAGGGGCCGTCAGTTACACAGGGACTGTTAGTTAAGCTACACAGGGGCCGTCAGTTACACAGGGGCCGTCAGTTACACAGGGTCCGTCAGTTACACAGGGTGTCAGCTACTCAGGGACTGTTAGCTACACAGGGGCCGTCTCGGTTACACAGGGACTGTTAGCTACACAGGGGCCGTCAGTAACACAGGGCGTCAGCGCAGGGCCGTCAGTTACACACGGTCCGTCAGTTACACAGGGGCCGTCAGTTACACAGGGACTGTGTAAGTGACCATAGAGGGACTGTTAGCTACACAGGGACTGCTAGCTACACAGGGGCCGTCAGTTACACAGGGCGTCAGCACAGGGCCGTCAGTTACACAGGGCCCGGGGCCGTCAGTTACACAGGGGCTGTTAGCTACACAGGGGCCGTCAGTTACACAGGGACTGTTAGTTAAGCTACACAGGGGCCGTCAGTTACACAGGGGCTGTTAGCTACACAGGGGCCGTCAGTTACACAGGATCCGTCAGTTACACAGGGGCCGTCAGTTACACAGGGGCCGTCAGTTACACAGGAACTGTTAGCTACACAGGGGCCGTCAGTTACACAGGGGTCGTCAGTTACACAGGGGCCGTCAGTTACACAGGGGTCGTCAGTTACACAGGGCCGTCAGTTACACAGGGACCGTCGGTTACACAGGGGCTGTTAGCTACATAGGGGCCGTCAGTTACACAGGGCCGTCAGTTACCCGAAAGAGATGCAGTGCTTAAGAGTCTACTCATGTGGTAACTCACATCTGTTCAAGCACTTAATAGACATGAACATTATACATAATCGAATCTTGTGGATGAAGCTTTCTCAGTTTCAGTTTCAGTTGTTTCAGCTCAAGCTTTCTCTGTAGTTTCAGTTGAAATAATTGAACAAAACTACGACGATACAGCTTATGTGATATGTCATTCGATGAGAGCAACAGTGAAACACAACAGTTTTGCGGCCCTGTAATTGTTGAAATACTGGCAGCGAAGTGATATTATGCCCCGAGATATTGCTGGCGGTTTCAATTTGGCCATTGATTTATGGTCACTGCCGGGCCGGGCGCTCTTTCCTCCTGTCGCCTGTTACAGCTCATAAACATCACATCAGCTTGGTATTTATTACAGCGATCCCCATGGTAAGATTTAGAAATCCCGTCGATGGTCGACCAATCCCGTTAAAAGTGATCTCTTATGGGTGGCCATTGACACTTTGTGTCGGAGCATCGACCCACTGTGTCATCATAAATCAGCGGCGGAGAAGCATGACGTCATCGTTGCCGGAAGTGCAGTGGCTCTTGGTGGTGAAAAAAAGAGATGAAAAAGGAGAAATTATGAAACATTACTGCCGGCGAAACTCGTCGTTTTCCCACTAGTTAGCTCTTAGGTCTTAAGAAAGTCTCGAAACCTAATCGGTGATATAGCAAAAAGCATGTGACCATCAGAATATACAGTGCATATTTTCTGTTGGCTTTCAACTTACCTCGAAGTTGATTTGTCCACACTGATTGGGCCTCAGCGTGTTGAACACGTAGTGAGCGTACTGGTTGGCATCTGCGGGCAAAACCAGTGCAAGCGTTGTCTTCTAAAATGCTTAGCTGCTGCTGACTGCATTGGCCTAGACGTAGACGCTTCAACCAAGGAATGCCATCGTCTCTTCAACCACATTCAATGTAGGTACCGACAAATATCAGAAGTAAGCCTTAGTTACATACATACATATGTCCCATTGAAATGCGCTAGCTTCGTTCGAGAGATTAAATTAGAATCCTCATAGATACAGTCACTATTCGTTTTCCACATGACATGCTAAACAAGGTTGATATGCATACATTGGTGGAAGATATTTTTTCTGATAAAATATGCTGAAATAAACTGTCGAGTTACGCTTCATACTCTTCATACTCATACTCGCTCAACATCGACACATCACGGCTCTCAATGGGCGTCCGTTAGGGACCTGTAAACTGGAATGGCGCTCTCCGCCGTCTCCGTTCCTCATTAACCCGCGCCCCACTGGGGGGGGGGGGCTATTTATAGCCCCCCCCTCCCGTTTTTCTGCAATAACTTCCAAACCGCTTGACGTATCGACGCCAAACTTTCAGTACCTTAGGCTGCATCAATTTGACACCTTGTGTCAAAATTTGAACTTCGTACCTACTATAGGTCGGCCGGAAATGACGTCAGAGTGACGTCATGTTCGGCCGATTTCGACGCAAAACATTGAACCACAGCAATCGCTCCCAAGAGCTCAGTTTTTAAGCTAGATCCAATTTCTTTGCATGAGAGGACTCAGAATAGACTGCGCTATCAAACTGCCGTCTCGGATTTTCGAAATTTTGAAAATTTTGAAAATTTTATATAATAATATCCAAAATTTATATTTTTACATTTTTTTTCAAAAAGTTTTTGACTTTTCAAAAAAACGGGAATATATGTGATAGAACGCATTATTATGACTAGCTCTAGCAAGTTTTAGCTAAATATCTTCAAAAATGGCCAAGTTTTACGCATTATTGCAAAAAATTCACAATTATTAATTTTTCAAATCAATTTTTCAGCACGTATTTGACATCGTACGCCAATATAAATAGCACCATCGTGTTCCTGAGCTCAAACTGCATCCAATAGACACCTTTTTTTTTGAAAAATTTCAACTTCAAAATTTGACCTTTTTTGACCTGAAAGTGACCTAACATAAGCTAAATTCGACACAAAATGACCTCGAATAACACAGACGACATCAAATTCGAAATCTCTGACCTAAATGGACCATGAAACATGTGTCACGTGACCGACGCATTATATAATATTTTCGTGACCTGTGATGACCTGACCTTGACCTGAAAATGAAAGTACAAGTTTGGTACCCTCAGGGTAACTAGAGCATCTGTTCCCGAGTGTGTGATCCAAAAATGAGCCTGATCTGACTTGTAAGACGGCGGCCAGAGCCCAAAAAGTGATCAAGCCAAAATGCTAATAATTTTTACTTTGACCTTGACCTGTGACGTCATCGGTGACCTCGAGGTCAATGAAATTAGGTTCCGCTCGACAGTTTTTCCGGGGCTATCAGACGCCGTTTGAATTTTGACGATCGGCCCAGTAGTTTCGGAGTTAGGAGGGGGGGCTATGAATAGCCCCCCCCCCCCAGTAGGGCGTGTTATACGCAGACCCCAGTGGGGCGCGGGTTAAAGGGACCCTCCCACCTTCAAAAAAGTTTATGAATTGGCATGAAAGTGATGTCGCTCGGTTCAGAAAGAGCGAAAACGAATATCTACCAAATTTCACCGAAAAATATTCACCGGTTTTCAAGATATTAGACTTTTACTTTTGTTTACTTTTTTGGGATCTCCGCTGTTTCTAGCGACTTTATTTTAGAAGTGCGGCGTTTGCGGCAGATGTTGCGCGCAAATAGCATATACCACCGCGTGCTACAAAACGTTTTAGTCAAACATTTAAAAATCGTTAGATATTTGCGCTGACGTCACACATTCAGAGGGGTATTCCTAAGCATTAGCCCCTCTGAATCAAAATGCTGCAATTTTGAAATTCAATATTTCCGATTTAAGGCATTGCTCGATGTTGTGAGTGCCGAAACCGGTAATTGTGAGCCAGGGACCCCATTTTGGCTATCTCAACTCAAATCTAATGTTAAGGTGGGAGGGTCCCTTTAAGCGACTCGTAGCGCAGACGATGTGCCCGTCCGCTCCTAAGGAGGTCGGCTGTGGGGCCGCGCGCCGCGCGCCCGGCGCGGCGGCCGATAACGCCCGTCCGCCGGGGACGGCAGTCAACTGCAGCGGCTCGACCCGCTCCGGCGTCACCGGAAGCACTCCGTCAATGGCCTCCGGCCGACGACTCCCTTTATCGCCGCTCTGTGCCGTGCCCGCGCCGAAAAATGTCACGCTCCGAGGCCTCCAACAATGGTGGGCAGCTGAAATGTGTTGATCCAGCCCGCGCATTGTTTGAACCTCTATTCTCTGCATAACGTCTCCGAGTTCCTGTTATGTTCGTTTGAATTTGATATTTGTTCTAACCATTAAAAAATAAAACAACTCCTTTTAGCATTAAAAGAAAAACTACAAAAAACGTTGTGGTGATTGTGCTGAAAATCATAGTCTTGTTTTGCTTCCTTATATATGCATTAAGGCGCCGAAAGATCTCCTCAGTCAGTCCCAGAGTTATGCTTGTGAGGTAGTCTGCTGAAGCGTGCCCATCCCATGTGCTTTCTATTCCACTGTCTTCTTCCTTGCTCAATATTTTACCAAATATCATTTTTTAGATTGCATCTCTGGCTACTCACCGCCTTGGGGGAAGTACTGAGAGAAGATGAGCTTGAACGCGGCTTCGTCAACGAGTCCCGACGGACACTCCTGAAAAAAGAATAGTTTAGTCGATATATCGCACGTACTGACAATGCAGGCATGTGTCGAAATGATGCATAAACTGATTATCTCGTCATAGCTCAACGAAGTTGTTTAGTGATACCGCTAAATTGGTCGACGTTATTTCGTCAAATCATCAATACATAGACCGTAGTAATCACATGGTAAGCGCACATGGTCAATCACATGGTATTTCGTCAAATCATCAATACATAGACCGTAGTAATCACATGGTAAGCGCGTTTTAATGAATTGCACGTCAAAGTGAAATGAAATATGCATGACGGTTTCAGAGTTTGCAACACAGAAGATAATTGCAATAAATATTACAATTTTAGTACAGAGATTGTCATGAAGCCCAAATATTTACTCATGTTTCAAACAAGGATGCTCGCTGGTTTGTAAAGATTGCATCAGTTCCCATCGTGAGAAGGCGTGCATTACAGCGAACCTCTGGTATCTAACTATAAGTTAAAAGTAACTCACATGAGTGTAAGATTGGTCAGTTCGATAGAGTGTTCGGTAGTGCAGTTACCGTTTCCACATATTCGTATTCATATCAACAATCTTGCCTAACAATAGGTCTGAGCTGCGCCGAGCGCGTTCGAGGGACTCTGACCATATACCGATGCGAACATTATTGTTGGATTCGCATGGGCTATACGATCATAAAGAATGATTGTGAACGTTCAGTATGACTACGACCCAATAAAAGGTCATGAGGGTGCAGTTAGTCAGTTGTTTGTTGGCATCAACGATAATGGTATGCGCCGATACAGGGAGAATATACACACAGAAAAATATTAACACCGTTAGCGGTGTAATTGCACAGTACATATCTGAGCACTTGAGGAAAGTTAATTTAGTCCCTTCCCCGCTTGAATTACTCGCGCTTCTAAATGAACACCAGGAAGAAGGTAATAGAACACTGTTAGGAGGGTTGGGTGTTTTGCTACATGTAGTAAAACACCCAACCCTCCTAACAGTGTTCTATTACCTTCTTCCTGGTGTTCATTTAGAAGCGCGAGTAATTCAAGCGGGGAAGGGACTAAATTAACTTTCCTCAAGTGCTCAGATATGTACTGTGCAATTACACCGCTAACGGTGTCAATATTTTTCTGTGTGTAGAACAGCAATCTAGGCAGTTGCTTACCTGACTTACTGCACTGCCACCTTTTTATTGGCTGCCTTGCTGTATATGAAACCATTGGTAGTTCTGGTGACATGTTAGAGAACCAACAAGCAGGAATTGGTATTTAAAACATTATTATTTGTTGTCATGCAAGAGGACGTTCGCCACCTTTATTCGCTATGGTAAAAACCATAAAAAAATGTATGAGCCCATGACCCAATAGGTGAGAATCATTCTATGGGCATGTGATGTTTCGCTGTATAGCTACCATTTGTTGTAAAGGTCACCAGCATGCAGCTACAGCGGAATATGAATATAAGACGCTTGGGACCGATCGTGCCCTTCCGTTAGCGAGCAGACTTATGGCGGTGTGTTTTGCTTTCAGCGGCTTCGCCTTGTGTATATGTTTTTCCCTTGAGCCTTGTCTTCTGTTTTGTTGATTCTGTTTTACTGCTTTCTCTTCTTTTAGAGCTGCTCTCAGCTTATAGTAGGGGAACGTTATTCTGATCGTAAAAACAAGAGCAAATAAAATAATCAAATGCAGGCCTGGAGTGAACAACCAAGGATTCAAAACAACTCGGTGATTTCAAAACTGCATGTAGCACTTAACCCTATTCCTGGCGGGGGGGGCCTCAGGAGCCCCCCCCCTGAGGTTTTTTGGTTATTTCTCCCAAACGCGTTGAGCTAGGAAGCTCAAATTTTCTGACTTTTCCTAAAAGGCTTCTACGCAACATGTCTGAAAATTTTGAGTTGATCTGACCTCAGGTCAGGTCACCAGAGGCGGTTTGGTGACCCTACCTCAGAAAAGTTTGCAATCACGCCAGAGCTAGAGTTTTTGACCGATCAATTTCTTCTCTTCAGGCTTTAGTTAGGGTGCCAGTATGTACAATTTGTATATCTCGGAATTTTGATATCGGTGACCTAAGGTCAGGTCAGTTTCGCGACCTCCCCATTATAAGTCAATGGGGGAAAAATCAACTCCCTGTTTTTACCACTAAAACGGGTCGGAATGGCCCCATATACCATACATGACTTCATATACGATCAACCTTCACTACCTTGAGGTCTGTTTTGCTGTTGGGCAGCTGTGAGGTCATGTGACGTCATCAAAGGTCACCAAAGGTTTTTGGCCAATAACTCCGTACATGAACAAGATACAGACGCGTGGATGGTCTCATTGTGTTCAGCTCGTCAAGACGCATCGAATGACATGATGACCTCGAGGTCACGTGACCTGAGGTCAACCTTTGACCTTGACCTTTCGAGGTCAACATATATATCATTCGATGCGGATTGACGAGAGGATCACGATGATGCCCTTAGTTTGTTCCTATCTTGACTAATTTGAAAGTTATTCGAGAAAAACTCTCTCCATATCTAGCGCCGCCATTTTGACTTTTTCGACCCCTGTGACGTCATCTTTGACCTGACCTGAAAATGACCTTTGTAAAAATTGTAGACCTTGTCCATGCGTATCCGATGCCGTTTACCGCTTGTCGCTATCTTGCTTCGTTCTCGAGATCTCAGGGGGGGGGCCGAATCGGCCCCCCCCCCCCAGTTTCTTGTCCCGGCGGAGCCCGCCAGGAATAGGGTTAAAGTGCAATGGCTCTATGTCAATCATAATGCTGAATGCAAATATATAAAATATGGCACTTAACGAAGTAAATTTAGCAAATAACACCCTATGGTCATTTGATGATGTTATCAGGAAACCAGCACGTAACGATATGCATTCATCGCAGTTAATCTGCGATTTGCGTGTCGCATAATCCGCGGCAGCTTTGTAGCGTTTTCGCTGTGCGGTATATGTGCGGTCTTTTCAGCACCGACTCGCGGCCGACTGCTCCATTTATCAATACGGCGTCGCGGTCTGCCGACCACATTCGGTCTACGTGGCCGCCAACCATACGCCCCCCGCCGCCTTTCAATGGGGAGCGGCACTAAGCTGCCAGCGTGATTCTAACGGAACAGCGAACGGACTTGTAATTGCCTCAGCAGCTGTTACTTGTGGAACTCGTTCAAATAATGTGGCGCTGAGGAAGGCTTGACACTTATTAAATGTTGAAGCTAGGTTGCTATTGCACGAGGCTATACTGGGACTCTTGTTCAATGCTGTTTACGTTGTACTTACACCGTAGGTAAATACAGTATGCAATTACATAACGCTTCAACCGTCACCTAACACTGTTCAAACTTAACATAACTAGAGCGTAATAGGTATTTTGAAATATTGTAGAACCACAAGGCTGTCAATTTACCTGCATGATTGAATGCATAAAATTAAGTTAAACATAGACCTCTGTTATCTGTACACCTGGCGGTGCACAGACCTCTGGTGTCTATAACTTTAACCAAAAGCGTAGACAAAATAGACTGGTGGTGCTGTTAGGGCTTATAGCCAAAGTGCACATTAGTCTGCAACTTTTCTGCGTTGAATTCCCAGTAGGCATGCTGTGCCTGGGCTCAGTGCTGTGTGCCTATAGGCTGTGCGGCGAAGTTCAGCTCTTGTGTGTCTGGTCTGAGTGACTGACACTGTGTGGCTGGACAGTGGGCTGAGTGGCTGGGCTTTGCTATGATAAGCGGTCTTAGTCGCTTGCCAGCCGCTCGACGTCATCTATTTGCTATTCTGTCAGCATTCAGTTCAATTTAGAAAGCGGAAAGCCTCTAAAAGAATAAGTATGGGAGAACGTCAACGGTGATCTTGGCTCACGCTTTGCAAGAGCAAAAACATTCAGTCTTTGTCGTTTCCGCGAAATTCGCTCAGAGCTGTCAGAAAAAGAATGTAACAGGAAAACGATTATATCCAAGGGCCCGTCACAAAAAAGGTTGCCCACACTCCAGCAAGATAATCGTATGATAAACATACTTCTTACAGGCAATTTTGTTGGCCTGTTTTTACAGAATGACCTGGCATTTGGTTTATTTGTAAAAGAATAAAACAATAAATCCATTTGATAAACTTTGGGAGTGAGTTGGGACCCAAAATTATGAAACAAAGCAAAGCTCGTTAAAATGGTCATGTCATTAATGGATAAGACTGGTGTTAGCAACCATTCATGACGAGCGAACAGGAGCCCAATGCTTCCAGTTCGAATAAAAACGCGACGCTGCTCTCATCTCCTGCGGCTGTCCGGCCAGTAGGACTCGGTGATTGGACTGTATGCCCATGTTATCCAGGCTTGTGCCAGCTTCTGGGCGCGTCATCTTGTGCTGAGTGAAAAATGGCGCATTACATGGTGCTTCAAAAACGATGCTTCTATGTTATAAGGCTACAGCAGTGCTCTATGAGAACGTCTAATGAAAGTTGTAAGGACAAAATGAAACATACGGACAAAAGCTCGGGACGAATAAGTTTGGGTGCGCATTCTAATGAAACAAAGAAACGTATGTTTTAGGTTAAAATCCCTGCACTCTGTGTTTATCATGGCACAATACACTTATTTCCATATTTTCCATAATGCCTCGTTCTTAAATTTCCCGGCAAAACCAATTAAACGCGTTTCAATGCTAAGAAGTTAGCATGTTAGTTAGAACTCAGTTCTGCTGGTCATCGGAAACATGGGGCGCCACCGCGGCCACTCGCTGAAATGCTAAAGTAAGTGAGGAGCTGTTGTAATGACACTCTCATGTGCTCTGCAGCGTTGACAATGCTACGTTTCAACACAAATGTTGAGGGTCGAAGCTGCCCTGTTGAAATGTTCTGTCAAGGTCTGCCAATTGAAAGTAAACAAATCCCTGGGCGGGCAGAATGTGGGTGTATGATTGTATGTCGGATGCCATAAAAAGCAACGTGTAATTTGTATCCCTATTCAGTCATGAATCCGAGCGCGTAAACACGCAAGCATAATCAATCAAGACACCTATTCAGGCAGTGTTTGCGTGTTGGCAATGACCAAATAGACGTATATAAGTACATATGTTTACGGTTGCATCTACTGATGGTATTTAGCATATCGCTTGCCCAAAAGCTTGCACGGGCCAGCTCGATGTTGCGTTGTGATACCATTTTACTGAGAGTGAGATGGAGTGACCATGCGAGGCTACTTCTGCTGTTAGTTGAACTGCTCAGAGCCACTTACAAACCTAGCTGTTACGTCAGGAACACGGATGGTTGGCCTTACCTGTTTGAAACCTCTGTACATGAACTGTATCTCCTTCCTCGTGAAGCGTGAGCTGCGTGTGAGTTTGTCGAGCTCCTCGGGTCGGTAGCGGGCAGTGTAGAGTCGCAGCTGGTCCATATCGGGAGCTGCAATGACGAGGAAGGGGAGTTCGGGTCACCAAAAAGTAAACAATCGTACTTTTCGGAGGATTTCAGACAGTGTGGTTGATTATCTCCATTTGGCGTCTTTTTCAGGGCCATTGAAAAATATAAGCAGGACAATACTGGATACGAGGTTAAAGATCGAACAAAAAAATGTTTTGACGTTAACAAAAAATATGCTGAAATAAGACCATTCAGTATTAAACACCACAAATTGGCGGATACATCACACAACACTAGGGTGGGGATGTTCTCAAACCACACCGACACAGCCCCACAAACAAGGATAGCACGGTATAGCCGTTTATGGTTTCCACACAACGTGGTATTACTGTCTAGCGACAAACGATCAACAGGCAAACGATGCAGTTTCTAAGGAGCCAGATCTTATTAAACCCCTGTAAATTGTCAGCTGTGTAGGAAGTAATTCGATGCTATTTTCGAATTGGCTCCTATTGACCAAGACTGCGGTCGTGGTTAGCGCGCTGCTCCGCGCTGCGAGCTCACAGCCGCTCGGTGGGACGGCGATAAGCTCGTGCGGCAGAGCGGCCGGGACCGGCGGCGACCGAAATCGATATCGCTTTGCAGTTCCCGGACACCCCGTTCCGGAATTAAAGCTCCCACACAACTCGCCAATTGCCTATAACGCATCACAATAGGTGCCGAAGAATGCGGCGTACGAGCTGATGGTTCCCTTTGAGCGATAACAACGGCTGGGAGCGTAACTTCCACTAACAGCTCCAACTCTTCTAAAAACTTATCACTCAACAGTCGTTCGGACGACTAGCGTTTTAACCTATCATAAGGCGTCCATGCAACTTTAACCCTCGCCGGACCTATTGGTTTTCTACATACGCGCCGGCCGAGGGGGGGGGGGCGGGTACGACCCCCCCTCGCCGTTTCGCCCCTGGTGGAGCTAGCGCGTCGCGGAAAAAAAACGAGCGTGTGCGCCGTTACGAGACGCAGAGATTGGTACCCGATTTTAAGGTCCTAGGTCAACCGGTGACCTCTGAGGTCAGGTCAAGTGCCCCAGGGTACGGTTCAGTTTTTGGTGAATAACTTCGCAAAAAACGGCCGCAGAGCCGCGATTTTGGCAGCATCGTGTTCGCCTCGCTCAGGCGCGTCGAATGATATACTTTTTGTTCGGGTCAGGTCAACTTGGGGTGTTGACCTCAGGTCAAGGTCAGGTCAGCACCCCCAGGTCACGAAGTTGGTCGAAAGAGGTCATGTCGCATATCATTCGATTCGGCAGGTCTTCCTGAGTCCATTGGTGGCTTTCTCGACTCGCTAGCTCAATTCGATCGGGAGGTATTGACGAAAAACTAATATGACCTTGATGACGTCATAAATGACGTCACGGAAGGTCAACATTGCAAAAGTGACGCATCTAACCTTGCAAGGAGTGCATCAAATCACGATTCTGTGTGCTTGAGATAGTTGGAGATCGTTCCCGGCGCCAGAATAGCAGTTTTCATTTTTCCCATAGACTTATAATGGTGAGGTCACGAAAATGACCTGACCTCATATGACCTTTAGGAAAAATCCGAGATATAGAAGTTGTGAGACTCATAATGGATACTAGATCCTGCAAGTTTCATTTCCCTGTGACATCTCCTCTGGCAGTGAGGGCGTTGCGAAGTTGCGACATCTGAAGACCGTGCAGAGGTTCACTTATGACGTCATAGGTCAGTGACCTGACCTGACCCAAAAATGCGGTTGGTGTCAAAAGATGCGGCTTGGATCAACGGTCAGGTATGCCAAGTTTCAGCTCTCTATCGCCAGCGTGTTCGGAGCTATCGCGAAAAAACCCTATGGGGGGGGCGGCACCCGCCCCCCCCCCTCGGCCGGCGAGGGTTAAATTACTCCTTTTTCTACTCCTTTTTACGCCCTTTTTTGCATGCGATTGGGTATAGATCAATTAAAATATAATTGTTGGAAGCTGTCAAATGCCAGGAAAGCAGGCGACTAACGATTAAAATTGTTAACCATTGTCACGTAAGCAGAATGTAAAAGCAAATATTTTGAATAGTAATGGTCTCGTCGTACAAATAAAATAATTTCATTCAAGAACTGAGTGCTGGCATGTTATTTTTGCGTATGGTAGGGATATGGCTCTTGCTGTTATCTTTTTGATCGCACGACGCACGAAATGAAATGAGAACCCCTGGAAATTGTCGGAAATTACTTCCCATTCACTGCAAATTTACAACTTTAATAGCATTGGGCAACACTTTGCATGCACATCAAGAATGAAATAGAGGAGCATACTACTACACCACTCGGTTGAAGCTACACCACTCGGGCGTATATAGCGGCACCGACTACCAGAGGTGAGTGCGAGCTTCCAATGTGCAGTACAAACCTCTACCAGACTCACCAAATGCATTCCGAGCACCTCTCCCCGTTCAATAACATGCTGTCTACAGTATCCCCTTATTTGTCTCATTTGTTAGTTACTTGGTATGCTGTGACCTGTGTACATAGGCTGAATTCTCAATCCGTTTTAGGTCTAGCTATTTTTGCGTGTTTCTATCGATGATTTTATTTCTAATGATGCTGCCAAGACCTTCCATATCTTGAACGTCGTTCAGCTAACGGCGTCTTGTCACAAACTTATGCCACAATCAAATTCACAAACCACACTTGGCTAGCAGTTTCAGCCGGCGACAAGAATAGGCGCTCAAAGTTTGCGGCGCCACGCACCCGCGTCAGCCGCTAAATTGTCTGAACGTTTGCTGGATCGATCTCATCTATGAGTCTAGTGTTTGCTCTCCAAGGAAAGAATAAGTCCAATGGAGTGCCTCTTGAATGTGTAATTGACAAAGCTGCGCCGTGCTAGTGTTTGAAATTCTTTTACAGTCTCCCTTTGAAAGAAGTTGAAACTTTTTCTGAAAGTTGTGTAACCACACACAAGGGAGGAGGTTCAGGGATCTTGCGGCTGTTCGAGTACCCATTCACTGCTTAAGGCATACCCTATGCTTAACCCGCGCCCCGTTGGGCTCTGCCGAGCAACGCGCCCGGTTGGGGGGGGGGCCATTTTGGCCCCCCCCCTAAGATCTCGAGAACCACGCAACATAGCGACAAGCGGTAAACGGCGCTGGATAGCCCCAACGGGGAACTACCTTGTGACCCAATTTTATTGACCTAGGTCAAACCGATGACGTAACAGGTCAGGTCAAAGGTCCAATTTTCACCGTTTACAGGCACTTCAAGAAATGCGTTGTAAAATCGAGTAAAATGCATTTCATTGAAAATCATCGATGGGGAAATGTTCTTCAAACACATATTTTGCTATTTGAGGTCACTGATACCAGGTCAGGTCACAGAGGTCAGGTCACGGGGGGGTCACAATATGAAAGTGTCGTGTGATACAGGTTTTATGGTCCATTTTACATGACAAATGCGATTATATGGGTCAGGCAGCCTTTGGGGCCAGCTTAGATCACGTTTTGGTCAAGGTCAGGTCAAGGTCAGGTCAAGGTCAGGTCAAGGTCAGGTCAAATTAGGTCAAATTTCAAAGTTAATATTTTTGCATAAAATGGGTATCGAATCGATGCAGCTCGTCACGGGGAGTTCAATGATCGTCTTTGTTTTGCCGTACATGGTCTAGAATTGCTAAAAATTGAGTTCAAAAATTTGACGTCATCATTTTTGAACAGTTTTTTCGCTATAACTTGGCCAAAAAACGAGATATCGATCTGAAATTTGGTATGTATATAGAAGAGCGCTGGGACTATCACATATATTCCGGTTTTTTTCGAAATTCGGAAAAATTTTGGATTTTTTAAAAGTTTTTTTCTAAAAAAATCAATTTTTTGAATTTTTTTTGGTCAAAAACCAAAAATTTTGAAAATCCGAGATAGCAGTTTTGTAGCGCCGCTTTTTGTCTACTAGACCATATAAAGAACTTTGAAATTGCTTGATAACTGTAGATTTGGTGAGCGTTTCAAGATTGCATGTTTTTTGGTCATTTTTGCTGGAACATGACCTCAGTTTGACCTCAATAACTCCTGACCTAAGGTGACCTAAGACTTGAAATTTGGTGTGAAGGTGTCAAATTGATGCCCGGGAAGGTACTGAAAATTTGGCGGCGCTGCGCGCCGCCGTTTTCTTGCTATTCAGGAAAAACCACAGGGGGGGGGGGCCAAAATGGCCCCCCCAACGGGGCGAGGGTTAAAAAGTTCGCAAGTCACATAGTGCTCCTCATTACAGTGGATACCTACGAGTATCTTTCGAGCACTTCTCAAAGTGTTTCGATGATAGCGCGTGCAACAACCGCGTGTGGATAGCAGACAGAAAAGCACGTACCGTACATCTATGCATTTAACCATATAGACCTCTGAGGTCTATGATAACTTAAGAGGACATCAACGAAATCAATCGATTTGTTTCTCGAAAAAGCAGCCCCAATATTTTCCACAAGTAACCGTCTTACGCTTACACTCGCAAAACAGTAATATGTAGTTAGGTGGGGGTGGTGGGAGAGCGCACTTTTTAGCACGCTTGAATGATAACGTTCATAACGTGTGTATTGTGCATGTTTGATTATGTCATAGAAACAAGGTATTTAAAGCTAGAATAACTATACTTAGATAATAAATGAGCCAAGAGCTAATAACCATATGAAAACAGCGGATGCCCCCGGCTGAAGGCCTTAGCAAACGTTATTGTCATATAGGATAAGCCAAGGTTCAATGAAACATGTTCATATTCTCACCCTTTCTCTACAGATGTTGCTTCGTACATGTTACCTGTTCCTCGCTATATCGTGTGTTATATGAAATTAATAATCCTGTTCAGCGTACTTAAAAGGCACTAATTTACAAATTTACGACAAGTGATTTTTTCTACCACAACAATGACAACGATGGCGGCTTTAAATCCAGAGGGAATGACAGTAATATCATACATCAACCACAGGAACAGTTGTGACCTCGAGAGCGCCCTTCGACACATTCGAGGTTGGCCGCCGACGGGAGTCGTTTTCTCAGCACACCGTCCCGCCGCCAGCGAACCTGTCCTATCGTATAGCGGCACTGACCGGAGCTCGGGTCTGATCGGCGGCGGGGTTTTATCGCTCCCACAGGCCGCGTCAGCAAGTCTGTCCCCCTCTCTCACTCGGGTCAGAACTGATACGAGTCGCCCCGGGAGACGTCGGTCTCACTAAAACTGGCGGCAAGAGGCTGAGCTGACAATGGAGGCGTGGAAAGATTTCGAGCGTACTCCTTGGACAATGGACAGTCGAAAAATTTCGAATTTCTTTGCGAAAGGTGATCACATATCGATCTGTGTGTGTGTGTGATATTTTTCCTGAAGCATGCAAAGTTTAGGAGACAGATCGTGACTTATGACGCTGAAGTGGCTGATAAATTCATTTTCTCTGCAGTCTAGACTGGCATACTCGCGTAATGCTTTAATTTATAATGCTTCAATTCACATTCACATATCATTCAATTATCTATTAACCCTAGAACGCCTAGGGGGGGGGGGTTGTATCAACCCCCCCCCTGAGGTTTTTTCGAAGTGCACGCAAAACGGCTTGTCGTAGCGGGCTGAAATTTTCAATACCCTATGGGGCAACCTTTGCGCAACTTTTTCCGAAAAAAAATTGATCGGGTCATGTCAGGTCACGGAGTTATGACGTCATAAGAGGTACAGCCTCCGGCCGGATTTTCACAAACTGAGTGCCAACGCCCGAGGTTTCCTGCCGGTGGTACGGACATCGGTTGATGGATCGTGATGAAACTTCCCATGCATGTTGGGGCAAGTATTGGCTATCATATGGTATAAGAAATTTGACCGGGTCAGGTCAGGTCACGGAGCTATGACGTCACAAGAGGAACAGCGTCCGGTACTATTTTTGAAAAGCGCCCGAACCACTATTTTGCTAATTCTTGTCACCTCAATGGGAATATGCAGCAATATTAGCTTCTATAGGGAGCAAATGGACCTCCCAAATCCAAAAATACAATCAGATTTCAAAAATTTAAATTTTGATTTTTCGAATTTCTGCCGCCGACTGTGACCTTGCCGACTTCCGGCGCTCCCAACGCGCCATTTTTAGAGCTAGGGAAACGAAATACATACCAAACGATAGAGAATTGATCAAGGAACACGATAGTGAAGGTTTCAAGTCGATATCTCCCACCGTTTTGCCGCAATCGCCGCCGAAAGTTGAAAAAAGTCTATTTTTCCGAAAATTTGACCTTTGACCGGTCAAAAGTAGGTCAAATGTTGACCTAGGACCAAAAAATATACCACCAATCGCGAGATCTCGTTGAGAGCAATCCGTTGGTTTTTTCCGCTAAGCTCTACGACCTTCCGTTTCGAAACGCCAGGGGGGGGGGGTCGTAACAACCCCCCCCCCCCTGGTCGTTCGTGTTATGAGAAATGGCCTGGTCGTGCGAGGGTTAACATATCAATAGCACATTGCACCAATAGAAATGCGTTGCGACTGAGCATATACAAGGGAATCATATGATATCCGCGGCGGCCAAGTTATTACTAAATTCCCATTCCTCGCAGGTTCAGAAATGACCTTCTTTGGTGGATATTATTGTTTGTAGCTCTTCCACGGAATAACTTGATATCCAGGCTTATTCAGAACATCGGTATTAACATCGGTACTGAAGAAAATATGGCGGCATGTCAATCTGGTGATGCTTCGTGACAGGTTTTTGGGCACTGGTCGGATCGAGATCCGCAAACTGTCGCATCTCGCCGGGCGGTGCAGTAGTGTCCATACCTCCCGCTAGGTGGCAGCACTCGTAGCGCCTGTGGTTATACTGTACCGCACGGCACCTGTAGCGCCTGCAGTTATACTGTGCCGCATGACACGCGCCGCGCCCGCGGTTGCTTTGCCGATGCCTGCAGTTACTGAGCCGTGCGGGAAACGCATTGGGCGGGTCGGGAGCTGAAGCAGAACGAAAACTTTATGATTCCGTGCCTGTTTCCGAGTGGTAGGTCAGCTCTTGTCTCCGTGAATAATAACGAGCGATGAATACCAGACTCAGTAAGCCTATAAAACTGTACAGTGATGTTGAGTATGGATTGCGAAAACTTGTCCGAGTTTTGAGCCCATATTTTATCTGAACATATATTCACTTAGTGTTGTGTCTGGTCATTCGTTTATGCTCTCGGCATGTATTTCTTTTTCCCGCCTGACATTAATTTTTTCATATATCAAGTACTTACCTAATTGCCGTCATTCGCCCCAATTCCACAACATAGCATGAGCTGAAATTATATAAACTTCTATAAAGTGCTAACACTGTTATACCTACATGAGCCATTTAGTTAGCAGTATGCGTCATAATAATACGAGTAACTAAAAGGTGCGGAGGGAATTATCATCCCCGATGCTTTCGCCAATGGGCGTTGGGCGAATATTATGCATTCCCGATAACAGTTTGTAACATCTCTTTCGCCGCTGGACACATGAATGGTAAATTCAGGTGCTGGAAGGCGTGTGGACACTGGGGCGTTTTCTGGCCTCTGGCATGGATGTCATGTAGTGGTAAGAATTGGTAATAAAACGGTGATACACTGATGGTTTGATGGCATGATGAGCGATGACAATTAAGTGCGTATTCGATAGGGATAGAAGCATTGTATTTAGATGAATGATAAAAAAGGGTTAGGGAAGGTTGGGGCAAGACATCCGTATACCGAGGGATGCTGATATACAGAGACCTATGATTGGGAGAATTAGAAGGAACACATGTGTGAAGGAGACAGAAGTGTACAGATAACGAGTATGTAATAATGTAATAATCGTATATGTACGATTGCGTATCAATTACTAACGTATTAATTGACCGCTATGCATAACGTGACGCATTTTATCTGATCTGCCACATGGTGAAATAAACAAAAGACAGCTGATAAAAGCAGTCGCGCTATTGCAACTTGCGGATATTATGTTTTTATCTATTGCTTTCATGCTAGACCTTCAGTAATCTAACCAATGGTACTACAAGCTAAAGAAGAAAAAATGAAAATAGGACATCGTTGTTTTTTGCACCGGTCTAGTTCTAGTACTCAACGAGCTAGTGAGTCATTTGTCTGAAAACTTTGTCACCACTGACTCATTCAAATATTTATGCCATTTATGTAGTTTATTTATGTTAGTGTGTTGGTGTGCTCATTTGTAGTGTGAACATGAGTTTATTTTACCTGGCCCAAACATGTCTAAAGTAATTTCACAATTACTTTGACGAGCTTTCGAAACGACAGCCTCGGCTGCTCCTAACTTGATCGAGGAAAACATTCGCTCGGCAGGGCTTGTAGCACTAAAAATCCCAGAGGTACGCGAGCCAAAGAAAATGTTCGGTGTTTTACAGACGTTCCCTTCCCAGAGCTCAAGTTTCCGTTTCCGGCTATTCAGACAATGGACGGTGGTCGCCAGACGCCCTTCCAGCGGATGTTCGAATACTCCAGACAATGGCAGGAGTTTTCTACGCACACAGACAGAGCTTCTGGCTTTGTTTTGTTTTGTTGTGCTAGGTTCTTTCGGTCTGTTAAGACCATCTCAGGACTACAGAGTGAGAGAACGAGAAGAAGACATTGGGTTGAGTCCACCACTGGCCCGTGTGTCGCAGCGGCTGGGACGATCACCGATCACGCTAGAAGGGTAATGAAGTCCCCCAGCCGATCACACCGCCACCCTGGAGGTGTACGGGTACACTGTTCTTCATTAGAGCTTCCTCCTGCAGTTGTCTGCTGGGTTGGCCGTCAGCCCGGAACACCAGCTCCCTGAGTCGCGACACGACACGACAGGAGACATGACGTCAGTGGATCACATCGCTTCATGACCTGATGGCCAATGGAGCCTGGTAAATGACTGGATGGTGTAATGCTCCGGTCCGGACATCCGACACGTGTGTGTATGTAATTGCCTCTGATGGAGCTCGATGCCTAGGTATAGTGAGGGTAATAGAAAATGTCTTATATTTGGACGCAATGGTAGAATATCTAATGATGTTTCTGACATTATCCTAGCGATATAAATCTACATAGGTACCCAAACCCATTGTCATTGATATCTCTAAAAAGGAGTTACTTTCGAGAACGACAGCATTTTAAAGCTTATTTATTTTGAACTATATCAAACTGCCTGCAGCATTGCGTGTACGGTAGTACATACCATAGATAGAAACATAGAGTACCATAGTACCACAGATGAGAGTAGAAGTAGGTACCAAGGACTAGAGCTTTGCTGCAGCTCCACGCTGCTTGACGACATATGTAGATCTTGTGCCTGTGTTAATTTGACGGTTTGTTCACTAATGACTTACATATGCTCAACGAACTAATATGAAAACTTATGAATCAATCAGAACATGTCTCCATATTCTGAGGATCGATCGGCTTCCACGAGGTAGCACTTTGCTTAAGTGATGTGACATTACAGAAATGGTGCACCTGGACAACATTGAAGGCCACGCTTTTTGTCTGATTACTTCCGGCGGAAAGAATCTCTTCCCCCTCCTCCACTCGGTACGGACAGATTAGATAAAGTGGATGTAGAAAAAACATCGGGGACGTCTGAGATGCATCAGGGACTTCCTGAAAACACTACGGACATTCCTCGAAAATCAGGAACATCACACGGATAGCATGGACATACATAGGGCAATGGGGGCAGTGCGGACATTTCGCGACACGGAAGACATCCTGGTGACAGAGAGAACATTTACAGAAGACACAGAGACACGGATTCCTACCGGCGACGGCAGGAGGGCCGCCGGTCAGCCGCTGACGCAGCCAGGCGATCGGACCCGTCTTGGACGCCGTGGTGGCCCGCTCAGGTCAGCCGCGAGCGGTCAGCCCGGCTTGGCGCGGAGTGACGGGTCGGCCTGCTGAGCTGGTCTGGTGACTGATGTGATGATCACCTGTCTGATCGGACCGTGCAACGGTCTGTCCGACTGACTGACAGTCTGGGATGGATGTTTGACTGTCTGACGGGAGTACCCAACCGTCCGGTCCACAACCAAGAGCCACGGATCCAGTCAGTACTAAACGAGCACTAGCTCATGACTCCATCAGACCTCACGATACTCCACACTGGCTCCAGCGCTGCGGCCCTTCCGCCCGCCGTCACCGCCGCCGACGACCGCCGCACTGCCGTCGCCGCCGACACCGCTCCGTGTCGGCGAAGGAGAGGCGACGTTAGCGACGCAGGTCGGCGCCGACGACACCGACACCGGAGCGTCGGTCCCGGCCGGTGCGGGGCTGGAGCTGGGCCCGGACGGAGCTGGAGGAGCTGGAGCTGGGCTTAACACGCAGCTGCTGTACGTGGAACTGGGGCTGAACTCTAGATAGAGCTGCAGAAGCTGGGGCTGGGCCTGGTTTGGAAGCAGGTGGATGGGCTAATTAGTCTGTGGGGGAGAGAGAGAATGAGAGAGAGAGAGAGAGAGAGAGAGAGAGAGAGAGGGAAGGGAGGGAGAGAGAGATAGAGAGAAAAAGAAAGAGAGAGAGAAGTGAAGGAGCAAGGGTTTGGACTGGACGGGAGTTGAAAAAAAAACTTGAGCTTCTGATGTTAGACATGAAGTTGAATAGGTTAGACATGAAGAAGAAGTTAGACATGAAGTTACCTAATGCTAGGTAACGAAGCTAAAAAGCTAGAACGGATATGGAATTAGCAGGGTTGTAGCCTCAGCCCTCAAGAGCTAAGGTAAAGCTTGAACAAAGCCAAAGCTAGTGTTATAATATTTTTACTTTATCATTTTCACGTGCATGAAATGTAAATGATATTGTTTTCTTTGAGAGAGAGAGAGAGAGAGAGAGAGAGAGAGAGAGAGAGAGAGAGAGAGAGAGAGAGAGAGAGAGAGAGAGAGAGCGAGAGAGAGAGAGAGAGAGAGAGAGAGAGAGAGAGAGAGAGAGAGAGAGAGAGAGAGAGAGAGAGAGAGAGAGAGAGAGAGAATTTATCAATGCATCCATATTCACACCTGTCGGCAACGTTTATTGGCGTAATACAATGCATGCATTTCGCATGTACTGGCATTGCATAGTAGGTACGGTGCGATCATCTATTCGGCTCCAGCTCTCCAAAAGCTCGCCATAATATTATTCCACTCAGCATACCTACATTCCCAGAGGGCTGCTGAAGTTCGAATCACACCGATTGCAGTAGGAGGCATGCACTGAGCTCACAATGGTTATCACACACCCAGGAAAGAGCACGGTAGCGATCAAATTCAAATCTGTCATCAGCATGTATTGGACCGAGCCTATCATTCCTGCAGACAGCAAGCAAACGACTCCCACTGGAATGACAAGTACTGTCGGCGTAAAGAGTCACTTCACTGCATGCACAACAGCACCAGACATGACTATTCTGTTCAATCTTGCCACAACAGAAGATAAGAGGCTGTGGCGGGCTGCGGCGGGATACATCAGCAGCAGCATCAGAGGCAGGCAGCTACGACAGTGGCTAAACGGTGACCATCGCAAAGACCGCGGCAACGGAAACGCGACGAGACGAGAAAGGCGGCCGTGGCAAATGCTATGGAGCCGAGGAAGGTCAGAAACACCCAGTCGTGATATATATATACAACATCATAGATGATATGTCTGAACATCACCATTCACCATATATGTACATATACCATGCAGCATAAGGATGCGTGCTATTGTCAGATACGTTGTAGCTGAAACCTGATCTTCACCTAGATAGATGGTTTTAGGTACGGGGTATATGTTGTCAGGGCAAGAAGCAATGAGCAAATTACGGTCATTGAACCGTGTCTGAATCGCGGGAACCGTCACGTGTCGGCCACCCATATCCAACGCCTAAAGTAGCCTGAGGCTACGGCACATTATAACAACATTAACACTTGGGCTGGCGTGACACTTGTGGCGGTCGTTAGCTCCCAATTATTGGGTGGGTCGGCACGATACCCCACGGACGTGGTAGCGGGACCAAAGCCATTGTTTTGGATCGCCTGGGGTGCTACATTGGTTGGTACCGGGTAGAATTCTTAGAACAAATCGATTGATTCTTGTCTGCCCGTAAAAGATTAACCCGCGCGGGGCTGGGGTCTCCAGCCGAACGCGCGGGGCTGGGGGGGGTGAATTTTACCCCCCCCCCCCTGTTATCTCCCGAACTAATGATCCGATTTGGAAAATTCAAACGCCAATCGAAAGCTCCCATCACAAACAACTAAATACATGTACTTAATTTAAAGTTTGAGGTCAAGGTCAAGGTCAGGTCAAGGGTACAAATTGCAAGTTTCTACAGTATCGGCCTTGCACCGTAGTTGCCGAAGAATGGAGTCATGGACTGAGACTGATCGCCCAAAACGTGTTCTTAGGCTACCAAGACAATATTCGTTGCATACAATATCATTCAGAGGTCAAGGTCAAGGTCAGGTCAGGTCAGGTCAGGTCACCAAAAACAAAATATAGAAAAGGGCATGTGCGACACATGTTTTATGGGTCATTTTACTCTAGAATTCAATAGGCACACTCAATAAGTGATATGGACCACCTCTGGATGAATTTCAGGATTAGGTCAGGTTAAGGTCAGGTCAAGTGAGGTCAAATTTTGAAGTTGGTTGATAAGGCCTAAAAAGGTGTCTATCTGATGCAGTTTTTCACGGCGAATCGAATGATGCTATTTTTGTTTCCGTACGAGGTCTAGAACTTCTAAAAAAGTCATTTTTTCAAAAAAAAAATGGTGTGTCGTGACGTCATAAAACTTTGAATAACTCCCACATTTTTGAACCGATTCTTCTAAAATTTGGTATGTAGGTGCACATAGACCACTTCTCTGACATATATTCCGGTTTTTTCGATAGACTCAAAATTTTGGATTTTATAATCATTTTCCCAAAAAAGTCAGTTTTTTGAAGAAAAAAAAAATTAGGCCAAAATCCAAACTTTTCAAAAAACCGAGATAGCCATTTGATAGACAAAATCAAATTACGTATAACCTTATTTGTTACGTCTTGATTCCTTTAAAAATGAAGATGTTAGCGGCGTTTGAACTTTTGCCGTTTTTGAGGCGAAAATGGCGAACATGACGTCACTAAAACGTCAATTTCTCAAAAATTTTCAGACGGATTTCGCTCCAAATTTCAGGAAACGTGTCAAATTGATGTAAGAAAAGGTACTGAAAGTTTGGCGGCGCTGCGCGCCGCCGTTTTTTAGATATCGCAAAAATTCGCGAGGGGGTTAAAATTTACCCCCCAGCCCCGCGCGGGTTAAGCTTCGTTCAGACTGAAGGAGTTGCTACACCCGTTCAGTCCTGAGTTTCCGTACATAGAGGAAAACGACGGCAATAGGGAGATGGAGTGAGAGAGAGAGAGAGAGAGAGAGAGAGAGAGAGAGAGAGAGAGAGAGGGAGAGAGAGAGAGAGGGAGAAAGAGACCACCGGACCGGTAATTGCCAATACCGTCCTGATCTTACAGCCGACTTATTGGCGGAACTACCTTGTTACTCCCGGTTAATGAATACATGAAAAGTCTGCAAACTCGTGCTGGTAGCTCGTGAGCTCGAGTCCACCTCCCGTCAGGAAAAGTTAGACCAGTTTCAGTACAAACTGACCAGGAAGACTCTGCTTCCACTCGAAATAAACATCATAAATGGAGCTCATTGAGGCCAGCCAGCACGTTTCCCCGTAAATTGGATTTAGGTATGACTCTTGGCGCGGTTGGCTCAACGGGTAATCACTCCCATCCGAGCTATTCTGCGGTAATCGTGTTAAGTTCACGGCGCAGTGCTCGAAAGCTCTTTATTGGGTACAGCCACTCAGCCGCTCAGCAAAATGGGCGCCGATAATAGATCGCCAATTCAGGTAGCCTGAATGGTATAGATAACAATGCCTATAGCCCTATATAATAATAATTCGGATCATTTGAACACCTTGCATGTCATAATTAAAATATGCTGCTTATTTATTCATGCAATAGTGATGTTCGCTTCAAAATGCGACGGTTTCACCTCCGATCGCTCTCTGCTGCTCTCCCGTTTGTATTCCAGACCGTGTGTGCGCTGCAACGCGTGTGTTGCTCCGCGCCCGCGGCCCCCGCTGCCACCGGGCACCCCCAGGTGGCCGGCGTCCCGTCTGCCGGCGGCCTCGCCCGAGGCCAAACGGCCGATCACGCCGGCCGAACGACCTGGCACGGTCGCCCGCCGGGCCGACCGGAGCGTTCATGACCGGGCGTCGAGCGGCGCCGCGCTCATATGACCGGGGCCGTCGGATGAGTTACGGTACGGACAGGAGAGGTCAGATGAGACGCCGAAGCGGACGGGATCGGGAGTATGAGATTGGGAGTGAGAGACTGGGACATGACTGTTGACTATTGGCTAGTGGCATGAGGGAGAGAGCAATATGTGCTGGAATTGGTAGGGCCTGTCATGAGGCATGCGATTGCGTATGCGTGGAGAGAAGGTCCGATTCCACTCAAAAGAAGCCGTGAAAGACCGTTATAAGGAATTGAAACTGACCACAGATCCTGCCGTATCAATCATGAATAGAACAGCGCAGAACATGAAATATCTGACAGGATGAACATTGAACATTGAACGATTTAAGGATGCTCCCGATTTGCGACGTTTGTGACATTCCGTCTTTTGAGTTGAGAAATCGACTTCATGTGCTGATCTGCCTTCATTATCCAAACTGCACCTGACGGCCACTGGCGACTGGTCAGTATGTCAGTGAGTGAGTGTGACAGAGTCGTACTCTCCGGGAATATGTGCACAGTGGATGAGGAGCGAGGCTAAATGGTCCAACGCAGTAACGGGGAGTGATCGATCATATACCAGAGTCCCTGCAGCAATAACCGACAGGATCGCCAGCGCAGTGAAAGGGAGCGGATTATGACGTAAGGGCAACGCCAAGGATGCCTCGAACCTCAGCGCAGTGACATATCATACAGGAGCTGGGGCTTAGTGTAGAATGCAGCGGAATGTGGAGCCGGCCGACGCGTGGTGATGAAATTCTGACTCAATATTTAGCTCTGTCGATCCAGATTCCAGAGGGTAGGTATAACCCCCATTCAGTGTCTTCTGTCAGAGGAAAACTGTTTACCGTGAAAAATAAATCAAATTGAATTTGTAATAAGTCTAATTTTTTTCAGCAGTTAGCATTCGGTATGTAGGCATACTCAAAACATTTCGCATTTTGATTGTGCTCAAAGGCGGGCTAAGTCTGCCTGGCTGGAAGAGGGATTGTGACCGGTTTTGAAGTGATATCTTTTCTATATAAGTATGTAAATGATGCCAAATAATATTATAGGTAAGCAGCAATTTCAAATAGAACGCCCTTATCTTGCTTCGATTCGCTCTCCTCATATATTTTTTTTTTTTTCTCTCTCTCTCTCTCTCTCTCTC